GATTATATACAACAAAAACAGTAAATCAAGTAAGAATTATAGTTACAATATCTAGTGGTAGTAGGAAGGTTTCTCCAGTCCTGCCTGGCACCAGCAGTCCCATGGCCCAGCTATAAAATAATCACTCAGAAGCTTATATTAATTATAACTGCTCAGCCACTAGCTCAGGCTTATTTCTGACTAGCTCTTACATTTAAACTCAGCCCATTTCTATTAGTCTATATGTCATCATATGTTTCATGGAGTTACCTGAGTACCATTACATGCTGCTCTCTGGACAGTGAGATGATGTCTCCCCTACCTCTGCCTTTCTCTTTTTACTATTTCCCTTGAATTTTCCCACCTGGGTTCATCCTGCCATGCCATAGGCCAATGCAGCTTTATTTATCAACCAATCAGAGCAACATATATTCATATCATACAGAAAGACATCCCAGAGCATCTAGTCTATTTGTATTTGACAAAATCAGAGAAAACATTTAATTGTCCATCCTATCTTGGTGAGTCCAAAGTTTTATATCTAATTTACCCTTTCATCATAACTAAGAAAAAATTTGTCTAGCTAGTCTTCAATGCCATCAAAGACTCCAGAAAGATGAAATGTTACCTAATGACAGGGGCATCAGGCTGCCTGGACAGTCACCCAAAGTTTCTCTGCAGCATTGAGGCATCCATGTTTGGCCTACAGGACTAGCATATCTGAACGACTTTCTTGTGAAGCAGGAAATTTTTAAGGACTGTCCTATCATGTCTTGGCAAAGTTCACAAGTCACCTTTTTTGCATCCTGCTGGTCCAGTTTGGACAGTAACTGCCAGAAATTGAGGCAATAGCAGTTTCTTTGCCCCTATGGATAGCTTTTGACATAAAGAAAACAAACTCCTTATCGAGTTTCTTCAATGTCCATTAACCTTTTTGAAGTAATTGGTACTGCCAGGTGCAGACATCTCATTGTTGAGAAAAAGTTCTTAAAAAATTTTTAATGCCATATTCTGAAGGTCTTTAAAGTTTTCGAAGATTGCTTGTTTATTTGAAATATATCTCTGTATGACCTTGATAACATACCTAACATGGCTATAAGTATGACTATTATAGTTGACTTAATTTCATATTACATTTTTAATGAGCTGCATAAACATAATGCCCTAAACAAGAGTAGAAATATATACATAGTATAACAAAATTAAATTTAAATTTGTATCAATAAACCAAAATCCATACTAACACAAAATAAGATTAATAGTTGTTTTTAGGGTAAAAGTAGATTCAATAATCTGCCCTTGTATCCTATCATTTCTATATTCCCCCATTTTTCTTTTCAGAACAAGATTCCTGAATCTAATCTCCTTTGTTTGGTGTTTTTCCTGACTGTTATCCATAACAACGTGTAACCAACACCCGCAAATGATGACAAACATTCATAATTTATTTTTGGAAATGTGGGCATAGCTCTCTAAATTACTTCCTGTTGATTTGGGGCACTTGTAATCTTTGGGGGACCATCAGAAAGTTTAGGATTATGGTCAATCCCTGACTGGAGTATTCTGTGAGGCTGGATCACCTCAGCCAGCAGCCTTAAAACTTCTGGATGCAGAACTCAGAGGAAAGTGTAACAGAGGCATTTTGAAATGCTAAATCACTAGGCCACCTGTTTTCACTGGTATCTGGTCCCCTTGTTCTGAAGACACACAAATTTTTAAAGGTAACATACATATGGGTATTTATATAAGTATGGACTGCATATTGTACACAAGTTAGTCAAAGATTATTTTTGTTTTGTGTTTGAGCAGGTAAAATATACCTGTTCTTCCAGATTTTTTTTCTTATGTTAGTAGTCAGGATTTCAGGGGGTCTTCCTTAATCAAACCTGATTTTTCTTAACCAAGAATGAATCCATAGCCTGTTATTTACTATGGAAACAAAAGCATAACCTCTCCCCAAAAGTAATATTTCTTTTTACTTCAATTTTGAAGTTAAGATAATTTTAAAATACACAGGTTGATTTAATCTATCAGCTTTCATAATCAAATGTCTCTTAGCAGTCATCATTCACCAATTAATGGTAAAAAAAAATACAAAGACAACATAATAAAATACAGAATTTAGATTCTCTGTGTATTTCTTATCTTTACATGGCTAATCATATTTTTATTACTCTATTACCTTTTTAAAGACTTTCTCTACTCTTTTTGTTTTCTCCCAAGCCTACATATATTTTTAAACACACTGCAATCTGTTTTCATGGCTCTTTTTTCTGAATCTGTCCTTCCTGCACATCTGTTTGTGTGAGGAAAAAAAAAAAAAAACCCTGCTGTGTTCCTTAAATCATGGCATGCTGGTGCTGGCTCCTGCCCCTTGGTTCCCTGAGAGTCTAGTCTCATGGTGAAGGCATATTTATCACCAGCCCTGGGAGCTGTGTTTACCACCCCAACACTAGAAAGTTTCCAGGTCCATGCCACCCACTGCTCATAAACAGCACATAAGTGTTTGACAGCAGAGCCTTTTAAAGGATCCACCTGTTTTTGCTGCTAGCACCAAGCCAGGAAGCCTTCTCTTAAAGGAGTCATGCCTCTGTTCACCACCAGCAAACAAAGCCTACCAGAGACAAGATTGCTGTGGGATGTTCTGTATGTCCTGTGGGAGCCCGTTCTCGGGTTCCTCGTGGCTTTACCCAGCAGGTCCGCATAGAGGATGATTAGGACCATGGGCCTGAGTGCAGGTGTCTGAGATGGTCTGCACTTGGCTGTGCTGGGGGATGGTGTGTATGTCAAGTTGCTCTGATTGGTCAATAAATAAAACCTGATTGGCCGTGGCTAGGCAGGAAGTATAGGCAGGACTAACAGAGAAGAGAAATAAAAGAACAGGAAGGCAGAAGGGGTCACTGCCAGCCACCTGCCAGGAAAAGCAGCATGTGAAGATGCCAGTAAGCCACGAGCCACGTGGCAAAGCATAGATTTATGGGAATGGATTAATTTAAGCTATAAGAACAGTTAGCAAGAAGCCTGCCACAGCCATACAGTTTATAAGCAATATAAGTCTCTGTGTTTACTTGGTTGGGTCTGAGCGGTCATGGGACTGGCGGGTGACAAAGATTTGTCCTGACTGTGGGCAAGGCAGGAAAACTCTAGCTACAAAAGATAGTTACCAAAAAGCTGTGCTTGACTCCTTTTTGTGTGTTAGAATCCTTTTTTAAAACTTTTTTAGGTCTTATGTGTAAATTCCCTGCCCCAAGTTAGGCACCATGTATAGTTGGACATTTCTCTCCTGCCTGCCTGTTCTCAAATACCCAGCAGCTGCTTTCCAAATAATTGACTTGGAGGCTTAATACAAATTATAAATGATCAGCCAATAGCTCAGGGTTGTCACTTGCTAATTCTTACATGTAAATTAACCCATAATTCTTATCTATGTTTAGCCACATGTCTTGGTACCTTTTCTCAGTATGAAATTCTTATCTTGCTTCTTTGAATTTGCCAGTGACTCTCTGACTCTGCCATTCCACAGTTCTGTCTTTTCAGACTTCTCCAATCTGGCTCTCCTGCCTAACATTATCCTGTTCAACTATTAGACACTCAGCTTGCTTATTAAACCAACCACAGTGGTATATCTTCATGGTGCACAAAGGGATTATTCCACAGCATATGGGAAACTCCATGGAATCTATGAGGGTAACCCTAGCAAAGACTCCTAAAAATGACAGACACAGAGCCTGAAGAGGCCATCTTTTGTAACCATGCAAGATTTCCAGGGGAGGGATTGAGACACCAACCCAGCCACAAAAACTTCGACCTACAGCTTGTCTTGCCTGCAGAGTGTTCTGGAACCAGAGCTTATCAGAGTCCTCATCAAAGACACCAGAGAGACTTCATCCAACAACTGATAGGAGCAGATATAGAGTCCCACAGGCAAACATTAGTTGAAGCTAGGGGGAGTCCTGTGGAGGAGGGGGAGGAAGGATCATAGGAATCAGAGGAGTCAGGGATACCATGAGAACACAGCCCACAGAATCAATAACTGATGGGGGACTCATAGCAGCTTTCAGTAATCAGGGAGCCTGTAGGGGTCTGACCTAAGTTCTCTTCATATATGTTATGGCTTGAGTAGCTTGGTGTTCTTGTAGGATTCCTAACAGTGGGACCTGGGGCAGTTTCTCCTACCTGTGGAGTCTTTTCCTCCTACTGGATGGCCTCATCCAGCCTTGATGTAATTTTATGTGCCTGGTATTGTTTCATCTGTAAGCAGATCTTTGGAGATATTTTTTTAATTAGTGATTAATGGGATAGAGCCCATCCCATTGTGAGTGGTACAACCTCTGGGCTGGTGAGCCTGGGTTCTATAAGAAAGCAGGTAAGCAAACCATGAGGAATAAGCCAGTAAGCAGCACTCCTTCATCACTCCTGCATCAGATCCTGCCTCCAGGTTCCTGCCCTGTTTGGGTTCCTGTCCTGACTTCCTTCCGTGATAAGCAGTGTTTGGGAAGTGTAAGCCAAATAAACCCTTTCCTCTCCAAGTTGCTTTTGGTCATGGTTCTTTATCACAGGAATAGTAACCCTAAGACAAAAATTGAAGGACTGTACTTTCTCCTCCTCCTCATGATATCTTATTCTTCAAAATGGAGATATATTTGATGTGTTTCAGTGGTCATAATTTACATCTGAAGCATCATATAGCCACCTAAAATGTAATCACATGAAATTCAAAATATATGTTGTTATAGAAAATAAGAGATCACATACAAGCAACAAGGATGTCTCACTCATTAGCTCAGGCCTAACACTGACTGATTTTATAGTTTTCCCAATTCTAAAAAAAAAAAAAAAAAGACTAATGAGATTTGCATTTATTAGTTTCTTTAAAGACTCAAAGAAATGAAATAAAAATGTTGGGCATTTAGTATGATTGGATTCTGTCTTCAATTATTGATATGAACTTATATATAGCAATCATAGGAAAATTTTGATTTGTGAAAAAACTAATGGGAAACACATTAAGCTATACTCACCTTTGTGTTTGCTGTTTACCTTTTCCTCATCCAGCACAAATACAAACTCTTGGAGTCTAGTTAGCTATTCTTTAATGCTGTTGCACTTTTTTCAGAGGAACAAGTTAAAAGAGAGGACATAAAGTTTTAGAAATAGTAATGTTCAAGGAGCCTGGCATTCCTCCCAGAAATGTGACAAGTAAACACCTGAGCACTCTCTCCTTCAGAACCAGGAGGTTTAAATAGAATTCTGTTCAGGTTCTTGAATTGTGACATATGTTATTCCCTAAGAATCTCTGCATGGGAGAAATGTTAGCAGTTCTTTAACATGGCAGCATCAGTACAATTTGCCACATAGCAGTGAATATGCCATAAATATCCTGAGAATTTGAAGTTTAGTGCATATCAGGAAGAATTAAACCATATTCTATTTCTGTGTGAGAATGTTTTTTAATAAACCAACAATTTTCGTAATTTTTATCCTGATGCAATGTGATATTAGACAGGCACTTTTAATATACCATTTATATTGACACAATTTTATTTACCAACTGTTTTATTTCAATGTTGACTAAATATCATTTATTTATAAAGGAGCAACATTGACAACATACTACAAATTAAAATTTCACATCACAAATAGTAGATTACAGGTTCCTATGCCTTTGTCAGGTATTGGAATTTCTTTGATAACTGGTAAAATATATTATAAAATGAATATAAATATGCATGTATTTTTCAGTAAGGTTTGCTTTTAGGGACTCACAGCTTAATTGTGGTAAGTATATTTTAGGGTCACAAAAGTAGGATCAACAAACAATGAAAAATCTATGCCAAACTAAACTCCTAGGTAGAGCCACTTAGTTCTACCATACGGGTTTTTGCTGTGTTTTATCTTTTGTATGAAAATGGGGTAAAAAGATGAAGCAGTAGGGAAGAAAAAGTAGAGTCATATAAAAACTAGGAAAGTGAAAGATTAAAAAAAATACTCAAGGATAATATGATCCTCTCCTTGGGGGACATCTTTCCTTTCCTTGTTTGTTTTTACTTATTAAGAAAGTTATATGTAGCTGGCTGGTGGTGGTGCATGCCTTTAATCCCAGCACTCGGGAGGCACAGCTAGGCAGATCTCTGTGAGTTCAAGGCCAGCCTGGTCTACAGAGCGAGTTCCAGGATAGGCTCAGAACTATGCAGAAAAACTCTGTCTTAAAAAAAAAAAAAAAAAAAAAAAAAAAAAAAAAAAAAAAAAAAAAAAAAAAAAGAATGTTATATGTGCAAATGCGTTTTGATCAAGTCCACAGCCATTCCACCCCATCCAATTTTTCTGTCTTCACCACCAAGATTCCAGATTCCCTCACACGTATTCTCTCTCTTTCTCTGTATGTATATGTGTCTATGTGTGTGATATTGTTATGTCGTGATATTTTCATGTTATTTAGACTTTTCTTTAGATTTTAATCTACTTACAAAATGTCTCTCTTCCCTGTCCTCTCTCCAAATCCTCTCATATACCTGTCCTCTCTCCTCTTCAAATTTATGGCCTCTTTTTTTTCACAACTTTCTATTGCATTCATATATGAATCTGTATATGCATATACATTCCTAGATAGAGCTTGCTGAGTATAATTTTACTGATATGTATATTTTCAGGACTGATCACTGAACACTGGACAACCAATTGGTGTGTTGTTGGCTGGGGACATCCACCTCCCCTGTTCCCAGCTTTTGTCAGTTGCTGGTTGTTGTTTATGTAGGTTAGGACCTCGTGCGCTTTTCCCTGTCTAGTTTGGCATATTCTTTGGTGTCACCTTTGTTCACCTCGTGTCTGGGCAGTACCTTTGGGTATAGCTTTGATATTTATTAGACATGACCTCACATAAAATCACTGATATTCTGGCTCTTGTAATATTCCTGGAATCTCTCTCCCATGTTCCCTGAGCCTTATGTTCAGGAGTGTTTTATAGATGTATCAATTTGGACTGGCCTCCAAAACTCTACACTTCCATTGAGTGTGGTTTTTTTTAATAAGTTCTGGGGTGGGGGGGGGTTTAAAACAGGGTTTCTCTTTGAAGCCCTAGCTGTCCACTCTGTAGACCAGGCTGGCCTTGAACTCAGAAATCTGTCTGCCTCTGCCTCCCCAGTGCTGGGATCAAAGGCGTGCAGAACCGCCACCAAGCTTGGCTTTGGTTTTCTTTAGTAGCCTCTATCTTTTGCAAAGAGGAGTTTCTTTGATGAAGTATGAAGACTTTACTTATCTGTAGGTATAAGGACATATGTTTATAGATTGATGTTAAGGGTCATGTTGGTTTAGTTAATTAATGGTTATAGATGATCCTCTAATGATTTCAGTAGCACTGAGATGGGCAGCACTTGAAACCTTGGTAACCAGATAGAGTCTGGTTTTTGCTACTAATACATACATGCATGTAATTGAAACATGTTAGCCTACCAGAGGCTGCTCCTCTGAAGAAAAAGGATAGTCTCTATTCCAGTAGCCATCAGTTGCCAATATTTCCTCAGCCTGGGATGGAATTTCCTGGTCAAATCCCCATTGCATGATTTCACTTTCTCTGGCTTGACCTTGCGTATGTCGTGTACATACAGTCACAGGCACTGTCAGCTCACCTCTGCTGTGTCCAGAAAACAGTGTCACCATGTGACCCCTACCTCTAGCTCTTGCAGTGATCTTTCAGTCACCTCTTACATGACAATGCTTGAACCTTGGGAGGAGGGGATGTGGTCTAGATATCTCATTTTGGCAAGGCATTCTGAAATTTCATATTCTTGGCATATTGAACTTACAATTAGTATGGACAAAAAAGACCCAGGATAAGCAGATAGTACAGAACAATCTAAGCACTGCTTGAAGCACCACCACACCTGATTTTAAGTTTCGCTGCAGTGATATAGAAATAAAAATAGCATGGTAATGCAGTAAGAAAAAAATAGGCATGCTACTCAGTGGAATAGAACTGAGGACCTGGATATAAATCCACATACCAACATCAAGTTCACTTTTGATAAAGATGTCAAAAATTTGCATTGGAAGAAGGACAGCTTCTCCAACAAACTGTGCCCGTTCAAATGGAAAGGTACACATAGAAAAATAACACTATAGATTTTATCTTTCACCCTTCAAAGAACTCAACTCAAAAAGGAATAAGACCTGATATCCAGAACTTGTTAGGAGAGAAAATAGTGGATACACTTAGTAATGGGTAATCTTGTTATCACATCAACTGGGTCTACCGTCAACTAAAACAAATTGCTGGGCATTCCTACATTCCTATGAAGGATTTTCTTGACAAGATCATTTGAGGCAAGAAGACACACAGGAAATGTGTGCGGCACCTTCTGTTGGCAGCACACACAAAAGGACATGGAAGAAAGAAAAAATTGGCTGCTTTCCTTCACTCTCCTAGAACTCTGAACATCCTGTTGCTGAGACATTCCTTTTTCCGATATTGGAATCAACTTCATGGGCCTCTAATTGAGATGAAGACCATCAACTCTCCAGCAATCATCCAGACTTCAGTACCATGGTGGTACACATTCAATCTATCATTTCTGCTTCTCCCGAAACACTGTTTATTATAATTCATCTTATATGCACAAGAAGTGACTTTCTGAAAAGAACTTTGGTAGACACATACTAAGACCAACACACGAATGGGACCACATAAAAGCAAAAACTTTCTGTACAGCAAATGGCAGCATTGTTTGAGTTTAAGAAACAGCCCATATAAAAGGAAGAAATTTTTTCTCAGTTAAAAATTTCACAGGTTAGTGTCTGGAATATACATAGAACTCAAAAAATTAACACCTAGAACATAAACAATCAAATTAAATATGAGGCATGAAACTACAAGAGATTTCTCAAAACCTGAAACAAGAGCAAAGAAACATTTTTTTCCCCAAAATCGTAACATCCCTAACCAGCAGGGAGATATAAATGAAATCTATTTTAAGATTTCATTTTACTTCAGAAAGAAAACCTAAGATAAGAAAAAATAAACACTTTTAAAAAGAAAACAGCAAATACTGATGTGGATATAAGGAAGGCCTAACACTTACTAATATTTAATAGGAGTGCAAAGCGATGCAGCCAGCAAGGAAATCCTTGGGGGAGATCCTTCAAAGGAAAAGAAACGTATCTACTTCAGATTTCAGCTTGGGAATACACGCAAATAACTCTATTCTACTACTACAGAGGCTGTGTGTGTGAGTGTGTGTGTGTGTGTGTGTGTGTGTGTGTGTGTGTGTGTGTGTGTTCTGTTTTCTGGTGGGATCTTTGTCATTGTTGTGTAAATTTTTTTGTGTGTTTTTCTTTCTTTTTTCTTTTTGAGACAGGCTATGTATGCCTTAATGGACTGGCTTTCAATGTACAAACAGGTGTCTTAGTTACTGTTCTATTCCTGGGGTGGGATGGGGAGATCAAAACAGCTTTTAAAAGAAAGCATATATCTGGGGGCTTACTTTCATTTTCAGAGGGTTAGTCCAAGATCATCATGCTGGAAAGCATGGTGGAAGGCAGGCAGGTGTGGCACTGAGAGCCATGATCCCTAGCAGACGAGAGAGAGAGAGAGAGAGAGAGAGAGAGAGAAGGACTGATTTGATTTTTAATGTCAAAGTCCAGCCCTAATAGCACACCTACTCTAACAAGGCCACAGCTCCTAATCCTTCCCAAACAGTCCAACAGTTGAGAACCAAGTATTCCAATATAAGAACTTATGGAGGGCATTCTCATTCAAAACACCACAGCACACTATCCTTGAAATTATAAAAATCTGATTTTCTCAGCCTCTTAAGTGCCAGGATTAAAGGCACCTGCCACTATGCTTGTTTTTCTTTTTTTATTTCTGTAATTCTTTGTTTCATTTTTTATTACACATTATACGATATCTTCTTTAAATAGCTTTACCTAAATATAAAAATAAAATGCATTAACCATCTTAATGTTTTACAGTGATAGATAGAATGTCATGTCTAAGAAACATGTATGCCAATGTTATCTTGATTTCAGTTCCGAGTCATCTACTACAAAGATACTTGCTCATCCATGCTCATTGTTGCTCTATTTATAGAGGCCGGGAAATGGAAATTACTTGGATGCCCATCAACTGATGAATGGATAATGAAATGTGATACATTTACACAATGAAATATTATTTGGCTGGAAAGAATAATTATATTTCCAAGTAAATAAGTAGAAC